ACATAAACATGTGGTACCAACACCTAAATACCACAACATAAACATGTGGTACCAACACCTAAATACCACAACATAAACATGTGGTACCAACACCTAAATACCACAACATAAACATGTGGTATGAACACCTAAATACCACAACATAAACATGTCGTACCAACATCTAAATACCACAATGTAAATTAAAACAACTGGTATCAACACCTAAACACTAGGACATGACTTTGCCGTAAGGAAAGGACATTATTATCTTGTAAGCCAACGCTGTTTCAGAAACATCGAGAAGGTTTTAGTATGGTTTCCAGTCTACTTGATGTGGTGTTTTGGCTATCCATGCGGAAGTGTGCCTTACTGATCGACAGGTTTTCTGATACCCCAGCTCCCTGTCCTTAACAGGTTTCCCACTACTTAGATCACTGACGATGTACCCAGAAGGTTTCCCTGATACTTGGCTCCAAGGCTCGGCTATCATGTCTGGTCATGTAAGGTTATGTGATATTATAGATTTTTTTCAAAAAGAAAATTTGAAACGTCAATAAGGAATATTGACATTATTTATTCATAATATAATTGGTGAATAGAGCAAACTTTTTAACTAATGGCTGAGTCAAACCTAAAGAATGAATATCAGTGTTCCTAGGAAAGTTGCTGTGTAGTTAAAAGAAAGGATAACAACCTCAGGTTTTAAAACATAATGTGTTTAAAATTTGCTCTTCAGTGTGTTCCTGTTACATTATCATATAGTGAGATACAAATGACATGTCGCGTTGACTTTTCAGCAAAACGTTCATACTGGCCGGTTACATTCCTCGTGTAGGTATACCTACCTGTTTATTGATGTTCAGGTATATTAAGTACAGGATACACATACTGAGATTGGTTGTCAGTATTCCTATTGTATTTACCTCACTAGCTGAAGATATTTATATCATATATCCTTTGATACCATTAAAAAAACTGAAATTGCAATTATAAGAATAATTACTTTTTTTTTTTTTTTTAGGAATTGTCTCCCTTTACCAATTATCGACTTAATTCATGAGTATTTTTTATTACTAGCAGAGTTTCCTTAAAATTTGAATTTACCCTTGGCCTATTCATAATGTTTATTAATTGACAAAGTTTCCTCAAAATCTCATCATATTTGACAATTTCTCATGTGGAAACTCTTAATTATATAACCATTCAGAGAACTGTTTGCTAATTATATCGGCAAGGTTATATACATACTCAGATTCGAAACGAGCTTCTGTCTTTGTATGGTAAAAATATTGACAGTTTCATCATTATCCTGTCATATTTGATTAAGAAATTGAGCAAAAACTACTGACCAGAGTGCATAATCGTTTTTCTCCATTTCAAACTTGGCCAGTCTTTGTATATTGTGTATGCTATAATTGCTTCTTAAGTTTTAACTAAACTGAATGATATTTGTGATCTTTTGTAAATACAACCGGGCCCTTTTAGAAAGGGGAAAATATGAAAGTCATGTGATATGAACAATCAGGATGAGATGCATGGTTGTTAATGATATCCAACATTGTAGTAGTGATATCTAAAATTGTAGTATAATCCGACTCTTATTGTGTTAAACAATCCACTTTCTGTAGATATGTCTTTGTTTGCAGGTCTAAGTCTGCTTTGTTCATCGATGAATCAAAAACCAATTAAAACTGTAACTGGATGCTTGGAGGACAACTATTGGGTGTTTTGTCGTAATATAACATGTAAACATAGTAAATAACTATATTGGTCAATAAAACATGTTGACATTTTGATTGATTTGTACATGAAAAGTCCATGGATTTTTACAGTACTGAATTGCTACCTTGGGTTTAGTAACAAATAATCGAATAGAGGCTACACAGACTGTTGCCTATCAAAGCTATCTATCTGATATGGCTATGTCAGTCTTAGAAGGTAAGACAGATATCCCCTACAGTAAACTGTTAGTATAAACCAAGTACTACTCAGCAATGCTAGTGTGGGTAAACATACCAAGGCTTATTCTATTTCATATATCTAACGCAGCAATTGATTGGTCAATTGAAATAATTCTCTACCATGGAACTGTTATATACTGTCTGCTGTAAATTTACTTATGAAGCCTGGATTGCGATATTATGTTAGTTATGTCAATGACCCAAACAGACCCTAACATGTCATGAAACTGATTGTTAATGATGTCATGAACAATACCCTCAAAAGGTGGGTTAAGCTTATGTGCATTAGAATTTGGAAACTCTTCTTGTGTTTTGAGATAATCGTTGCCAGTAAAGAACTGAATTTGTGACGGAATACTCTCAGCATACAGTAGGGTTAACCTGTAATAATTATGTCCTATTGTACTGTTTTACTACAATTTAATGCTGTGCAATATTTAAAGAATGTTACAAATCAAGAAACTACATGCTTCTGTGGGATTTTTTACAGAGAATAGCAGAACAGACAAAACAAGCCACATCCCCTTCTGTAGGACTTTTTATAGACCTTTCCAGGGAATGTGCTTAAATCAGCCTAGAAAACAGACCACAGTTTGGAGCACAATACAATTTAATTGTTGCAGGAAACACATAAGATAGATTGGTCCCTGTTTGTTTTGCTTAGACAGCATGCAATTTCATAACTGACTGAATATTGCTGGATCGATGTGGCTATTGTGTGAGGAGATCTTGTGGCCAATAAACAGGCTCTTCTTACCACAGTAACAATACGGTAGGCTTTGTGTGGCCAGAGGGCAACAATGTTGACTATTGACCCAGGAGTCCGCCATCTGGTACCGAAGAAACACAGTGCCATGTAGTCTACCTTATCCATATGACACTGTCTGGCTGTCTATGTATCTTAGTAAAACAGGACACTGTCAGGTTATCTATGTATCTTAGTAAAACAGGACACTGTCTGGTTATCTATGTATCTTAGTAAAACAGGATACTGCCTGGCTGTCTTTGTATCTATGTAAAATATTAGTTATTCATAAACAATAGCGTGCTCCCATTAGGTTAGGTGGTTTTTGCATCAATGTATTAGTATGGGCACACGTCTACTGTCTGGTTATTTACTCAAGATAGAATGAACAATGTCTGGTTATTAATATTTACATAAGACAGGGAAGTGCCTGGTTGCCCATTTACGATAGGACACTGCTTGGTTGCCTTTGTAAGATAGAACACTGCCAGGTTTTCCTTGTAACATCAGATAATGTCTGGTTGTCTTTGTAAGATAGGACACTGCCTGGTTGTCTTTGTAAGATAGAAGACTGCCTGGTTGTCTTTGTAAGATAGAAGACTGCCTGGTTGTCTTTGTAAGATAATACACTTTCTGGTTGTCTTTGTAAGATAAGACTCCATTTGGTTGTCTTTGTAAGATAGAAGACTGCCTGGTTGTCTTTGTAAGATAGAAGACTGCCTGGTTGTCTTTGTAAGATAGAACACTGCCTGATT